TTATCATGTATTTGATTGTGTTTATCTGCAGTTAGTTACACGAATTCATATATGGGATGAAATCGGATAGGGATGGAATCGTTTAGGGATAAACGGATTTAAGAGTTTTTAAGAGTTTTAGTCAAATGCTTTATAAGATAGTATATATATATAAAGATATAAAGATGGTTGGTTTTGGTTATAGATTTCAAAGCATCCATCAGGCTTTTTTACATTTATCGTCTTCTTCCAAATCTTTCCACCAATATGAGATAATGAAAATCAACTTTATTCAAGATTTGAGGAAGACTCAAACCTCATATTGTCAGGTCATCATCCTTGGTTTCACTTTTAGTTGTGTACTATGATTTTTACCATTTGTTTGGTTTTGATTCCAACCATGGTTATAGATTTCAAAGAAGGTCATCCAAAATAATACAACTCTAAGAGGAAAACCCCATGAATTGACATAAATGCACCATCCATCTTTTTATACACTTTAGTTTGTTCAAATATTCTAACTCTTCATCAATGTGGAACAAATAAAACTAAACCACAAATTCACCATATAAGAATACTCAATTCTCATGGTGTCACCTCAATACCCCAAGGTTTTACGAAAAACTTTTTGGGTGCATCTCGGTACATCTCATCCTAATGTACATCCAAGGGAGGAGATCCATTCTTAGGCTTCTCACTTTAACTTCCCTTCTCACCGGAATTCAACCCTCTAATCTACCCTTCATCAAGTATCCCTCTCAAGATTAAAAAGTATTGGGAACATTTATTTTTAAATGGGGGGAAGGGTTTGGCCTGGGAAGGAGAGAATAGTCAAAAGCGACAAATTGTAAATTTGTTGAAGTTTTTCTATGTAGGTTCAAAATCATGCATCTGCCACTTGTTTGTTGTAGATTTCAGATAAGAGAATAGATATGTACTTGGTTCATTTCTCTTTTGTTAGTTAATTTGTTTTTTTTTTCAAAAAGTGATTGTAGTAGTTCAGTTTTTATACTTTTTAAAATGACTCTTTTGTATTGAATAATTTGGATCAACAATGCATGTTATAATGATTTATGAAATTCGAATTTGTTGATCAGGCAAAACCTTGACTAATTGATAGCCGCATGATCTCGTCGGATAGTTTGAAGATTTATGTTGGAAATGGCAATGTGATTTATGAATTACAAACAATAATAATTTACATTATACCACATTATTTAAGATTGTATTTTGTATTTCAAAATTTTCACCTATCTTCAATTTTGATGATTTTTTTATTCAATTGTCATTTAATTAAAAATATACATGTATTGATGTATATAAAATTATATATAGTTTTATATATTTGTGGATTCAAATTTCTTGTATAAAATAATGAAAATGAAGTTAAAAAAGAGTAGGAAAATGAAAAGGTTAACAATTAATGTGTTGATTGTATATTAAAAAAATAAATAAATAAATAAATATAATAGAAAGCTTATCATTGAACAACTCTTTAGTTCTTCTTTTAATATATATATATATATATATATATATATATATATATATAAATTAAATAAATACATCTTTAATTGCAACGGCTGAATTTAAGAAAATGAAAGGTGTAGATTAATCTTTGATTTTGTTAAATAGTTAAGGTTTCTAAATTAACGTTTTCTACTTTAATACATTTGATGGATTGATTATATTTAGAATTCTTCTTACATTGTAATTTTGCTTATGAATCAACTCTCATTCACGATTTAGAACATTATAAAAATCTGAATTTATGCCGAGATCCAACGACACTCCCCAAATCCCCAAATGCCAGCCTCTTGATCGGCAGCTGGTCAACCCCTGTCCCTCCCGCAATCGTCAGCTCCATCCCCACCACCATCACCGCCATCCCCAATTCTCCATACCTCCCCCCACTAAGTTGGTTTTCGCCATTTTTCAATCACGAAGAAAACACCCAATTACTTGACTATGGTTTTACCGTACCAACAGAAAGACCCATTCATTTCTACCTTGTCTCCCTCCTACTACTGTTACAATTACTTGGTGGGGCAGCAGTATTAACAAATTCAGTCTACTCGGGCAAAGTAATACTCTTAATTGATAACCCTTTTCATCTTCCTTCCCATTTCATTCAAATTTGCTAAATTTTTCTCACATAGCAGCACTTCTTTCGTCATAATTGTAAATCCACACTATGGATAAAGATACGACGCCTCCTTATCTGAGGTCAGTTGGGTTATTTTCCATTCGATCCATTTGCAAAATTAACTGTTCATTGGGATCTTATGTTTTCATTTTATAATGTTATTAGATCAGATCTCTTTGTAGTAGTAGTACAACGATGAAGTATGTGTAGTTCTGCTGATTTACTGTTGTATTGAGGAGCATGGTAATTCACAATGTATGTGGTTGATGTTTGTAGATTTACTTGATAATAGATGTAGTTGATCAAGTGAGCGCTTTCTTGTGTTTAAAGCTGAGACTGACAAGTTTGTTAGCTGGATGAATGATTATCAATCTTTTGTGGGATTTATAGAGAATTCTACACCTTTTTTAGTTATTGGTTTGTTTCTTCTTAACTTAGATAGTAATTTTTAGATATTCAGGCTAGAGCACCATGGAAATGTGTGTGCTGCAACTTTTATTTGGGGAGGGGTTGGTCATGAAAGAAACTGTCTGGATTTCTTGAAGGGCTCCATCTTGAACACACTAAAAGAAAAAACTGTCGCTGGAGCTCGAGTGACCTCAAATAATTCTTAGAACTCATGAAACGAAGTGAGAGAGTAATTGTGAAATATTTCTCTTGCTTAGATAGAGAACTAGAGAAGCAGCGAGTATTTATATGAGAGGAGTGCCAACTAATTTTAACTACCTTGCTGTCACATCAGCAATTCAGCACAACTAATTTAGACATGTTATATTAGGTACATGTATAATGTCTTAAGCTACGTTGATGGTTCTAGAAGGATCAGGATGGCTAATGTGTTTCGCACATCACACTAGAATCATATAAGCAGCTATGTGAGATGATATCTCTAGGGGTGGGATGGGGGTTCGAAGTTCATAATAGGTGCTATGTAGGCCCTAACTTGGATAGATAATTGTTGTGAGGCATTGTGCTGAGACCTTGGGTTAGAATAGCAACTTCTGCTTATGATGGTATAAAGGAGGCATGGTGTGCCCTTCTTTGATCTTTTCTTAAACAAAACGGTAGCTCTGTGTGTTTAACTTTATGTGTTAAGTTCTTGCATGATGGATTGAATTAGAAGGTAATGCAATGGAAAGCGTTGTCACGAAACATAAGAGTACATTGACATTTAGATCTTGGAGTAAACATCTTAGCTGAAAAACCTCACAAATACTGTTCGCCAGAGCTCTATACTCGGCTTTTGTGGAGGACCTAAGGACCATAGTTTGTTTTTTAGGCTATCCCAGTTACTATCGTATTATTTGGATAATTGAAGGTTGTTCATGAAAGGGAAAAATAAGCGTTGTCTTGGGAACACCTTGATGTACCTCCTAACTCTTATAAGAGCGTTCCTGTGAGTAGTTCTAGGGGTTTGAGTGAATCGACTCTTGGACTGAGTAGCAAATGCAAGATCTCGTCTACAATCTACTGATGGTAAGATAAAGGAGCTCGTGAGGCATTCCCATATAGTGTTAAGTATGTTAGAAGCTTGCCATCATTGGGATGAGTTTGTAGAGGAAAGTTCTAGATCTGTGATCTCTGTTTTGTTTAGCAGCTAAAGGCGTAATATTCTATGTGTTAGGGTAATTTCAGAGAACTTCCTTAGGATTTCAATGTCAAGGTAGCAGTGGAGAGCGTCAAGATCTTTGATGCCAAAATGTTTATGTAGCTTGACACAAAAGCATCAGCATAACTTTGAACAAAACACATGGACCAGATAAATGATGTGAGTTGTGCAAAACATTGTTTCTAGGCTTGCTTTAAGCCAAAGAGAACTTTCTCGATCAACACACTATGTTTGGTGGCAGGGTGGTGTCATTGGGGTAAAGGTTTTTGTGTAGTGGAAGAAGTGTTCATGGGAGACGGTATGAGGGTGTAGGAATGAGAGGAGAAAGTGCATAGAGAGTTAGAGACAATGGCTGAGAGTACCTAAAGAGGATGAATGATGAAGTGTGTTTGGTTGATTTACCGACTGAAATTAATGGTAAATTGGTGAATAAGCCAGTGAAATCAAACCTTTGTGCTATGAAAGGGTGACATATTGGTGTGGTGCATGCATTGTTTTTGTGCATTGGAGATGTGGATGTGAAAATGTGATCATTGCACCACTATCAACCACCCAAGCATTTATAAGAACACTATAATAGAGGAGATGGACTTTTCCATTCCTACCACATGAGTTGTTAACCACATGGTCATCTGTGGGCCTCCTTTTCGTTGTTTATCATCATAAGCATCGGGTGTGTTGATTCTGAAGATGCCCATCTTAGCAAACACAATTGCTTCTAACATTGTTGCAGGTGTGTCCTATTATGTTAAGCAACACATGGACTTGTAGCTGAACTGTCCTATCCTTCTACCTTCTACCTGGTTAACGACTTTGTTGGCTATGAATTAGATTGCCTACTCCTTGGTGATGGTGATGTAGGTGGTTGGCATTTGCTTGTAGTGGATGACAAGGGGGATACCCAACGGGTTTGAAGCATTCTTTCTTAGAATGGCTTTCCCGGTGGCAATAAGCACAGTAGCGTGCCATTCTTGAAATTGGTTTTTTAAAACCAAGCGAGTCCAATATATCCCACTCAGATGTCGTTGGAGAGGGGGGATGCATGCATCTAACTTCTACCCCGAAAGAGCAGTGTGGATATTTCCATGAAGACCCTTGCCTGAAATTATTTTTTCTCTACTTCATTTTTTATCTAGGGGTTTATGTTTGCTGCTTGTGTGCATCAGTGAGTTCCTTTGTGAAACGATTTCATCTTATGACCGACATAAGAAATGGATGAATACTATAAAGGTAAAGGCAAGGAATTACTGAACAAATCAGTCCTCCAGAATGATTGAGAATGCTACATAGAGGTGGCTAAACCATGCATGATGCACATAGTGAAGTCCTATACTTGGCATTTCAACTGCAACCACTTAAATGCAAATTGGTCATACTATGGAGCTTCACAAGGTGAAGCAATTTACTAGATCCAAAAAAAACCATTTGTTGTAAGTTGCAGTATGTAATCAGGGATTATATTATTGCTTTTAACTTGTATATTACAAAGAAAGGATACAAGGATATATATAGACAGAAAAACTAGACAAAAGAGAAACCCTAAGGGCTCATGGGCTTAATGCGCCTAAGTAAATATATACCGTAATTACATTCTAACACTCCCCCTCAAGCTGGAGCATAGATGTTAATCATGCCCAACTTGTTACAAATAAAAGAGATTCGCGAACCAGGTAATGCTTTGGTAAAGACATCAACAAGTTGTCTTCCTGTTTGAACAAAGGGAGTTGAGATGATTCCAACTTCTAGTTTTTCACGAGTGAAATGGCAATCAACCTCGATGTGTTTTGTTCTTTCATGAAACACGGGATTGTTTGCAATGTGGATAGCCGCCTCATTATCACAATATAGGTTCATTGGTTTAGATTGAACAAACCCAGTTTCACCTAGCAGATTACGCAACTATATCAGCTCGCAAGTGGTTTGGACCATAGCCCTGTATTCAGATTCAACACTTGATCGGGAAACGACATTCTGTTTCTTGCTTTTCCTTGAAACTAGATTCCCTCCAACCAACACACAATAGCCTGTCGTAGACCGCCTAGTAGTGGGCTCCCCATTATAGTCGGCAACTGTGAACCCTTCTCTGGCATGATGACCGTGATGTTGATAAAGGATACCAAGACAATATATATCCAAACAATATTTCCGTTGAGACAAACATATCCCTTTCCGAGTACGAGATACTTCAATTCCCAAGAAGTATTTTGAAGGACCTAGGTCCTTGTTTGAAACCGAGACGCAAGGAAATCTTTAACTTCTCGATCCAAGTCTCATTACTCCCAGTAATCACAATGTCATCAATGTATACCACTAGTAGAATACATCCGGAAGATGACGAAGTAAAGAACACAGAATGATCATAAGAGCTCCTCCGTAAGCCGAACTCAATCACTACAGCATTAAACCATCCAAACCAAGCACGAGGGATCATACAATGATTTACGCAGTTTACAAACTCTACCAGACTCCCTCTAAGCTACAATCCCAGGTGGTTGCTCCATATAGACTTCCTCATGTAAATCACCATGCAAGAAGGCATTTTTCACATCCAGTTGGTGTAGTACCCAGTCGTAAGTAGTGACTAATGAAACAAACAGGCGAATGGAGGGTGCCTTAGCCACAGGAGAAAATGTCTCGTGGTAGTCGATCCCATAAGTCTGAGCATAATGTGGCTACCTATCGGGCTTTCAGACAAGCCACAGATCCATCTGGATTAACTTTCACAATGAATACCCATTTACAACCTATTGCCTTTTTGTCTACAGGTAACTCTATCAAATCCTAACCAAAAGGTCTTTGGCCTAGCGGTATTATAGCCTTTGGCCTCCTAGGAGGTCAGGGGTTCAAACCTCACCAAAGGTGAGGAGGGTGTGTGAGTTTATTTGTTGCATTTGCCGTATATAAAATATACTTAAAAAAGAAAACTCTACAAAATCCCATGTATCATTATGATTGAGAGCATTCATCTCATCAATCATAGCATCCCGCCATACAGGATGGGCCAAAGCTTCACCAACCGTTTTAGGAACAGATAATGAATCAAATATAGAGATCAAAGAACGAGAATGTGAAGAAAGTTTATCATAGGAAACAACAGAAGAAATAGGGTAAGTACATGAGCGTTTACCTTTCTGAAGAGCAATGGGAACATCAAGATCAGAACCTATGTATCGGAAGGTGGTGGATCACTTGAAGCAAGAGGATCATCATTAGGCGAATCTGCAGATGATGATGAAGATGGTGTTGGGTCGGGATCTGATGTAGGTCGTTGCCGCCTATTATATACATGAACTATCGATGGTTTAGTAGGCTCTTGGGTCTATGTTGAGTCGAATGCGGTAGTAGACTCAGGAACATGTATGGTATACACCAACAAATCATCATTATCTCTTGGGTTGCAAGGAGTGGACATAGTAAAGAATGGTATATTCTCATGGAATGTAACGTCTCGTGATACAATGTATCGATTAAGCACTGGGAAAACACTTATACCCTTTTTGGCCTAGCGGTATGTGAGTCCTTGGCTTTCTAGAGGTCAAGGGTTCAAACCTCATCAAAGGTGAGGAGGGTGTATGAGTTTATTTGTTCTATTTGCTGTATATAAATATTATATACTTAAAAAAAAAGACACATTTCAGAGACTTTGGATCCAACTTAGTAATGTGAGGTCGGGTATCACGGACGAAACAGGAACTACCAAAGATCTTTGGGTCTACAGGAAACAATAATTTTGTAGGAAACGTAATTGAGAAAGGACTTTTCCCATCCAAGCATCAGCCCAGAAGACTTTAGGAACAATCATGTGAAATAATAGAGCCCGAGCTACCTCTAGAAGAGATGACGATTCTTTCGTTCCGCAACCCCATTTTGGACTGGTGTGTCAACACAGGAAGACTCATGAAGAATGCCATTTTGAATCATATTTGATTGAAATGTTTGGGACAAATATTCTTTTGCATTATTACTACGAAGAGTTTGAATGGAGACTTTAAATTGGGGTTTAATCTCAGCATAGAGTGAACAAAAATGTGTGGATGCCTCAGATCAATTTTTCATAAAGTAAAGCCAAGTAGTGCAAGAGTAATCATCAACAAACGTAACAAAATACTTAAACCCGAGTTTTAAAGTAACAGGACATGGTCCCCAAACATCATAATGGACTAACTCAAATGGGGATGAGGCTCGCTTATTACTGACTTTAGGACTTAAATGAATATGCTGATGTTTGGCAAACTGACAAGACTCACATTGTAGAAAGAGAAGGTAAATAAGAAAACTCAGGACACGACTTCTTCAGATTCTGTAAAGATGGATGACCTAATCGACAATGAACTTCAAGTGGAGACGATGAACGGGAACAAGTCAATGAGGAAGGTACTTGATGTTTAAATATGTATAGGCTGTCAGTCTCCCGCCCTCTACCAATAATCCTCTTCGTTGACAGATCGTGAAAGACAAAAAAATCAGGAAAGAATGAGACACAACAATTTAAAGCACGGACAAATTTGCTAACTGATAACAAATTGAACGAGAAATTAGGTAGGCTCAATGCGGAAGATAACGAAACAGACGGGGTAGGATCGATGGTGCCATAACCAAGGACAAGTGTGGTAGACCCGTCAACAATTGTGACATGTAATGGGAATTTGTTTATTGAAATTAGAGAAGATGGTGGGATTACCTGTCATGTGATCTAAAGCACCTGAATCAATGACCCATTTGGAGGCAGATGATAATAGGCATTTACTAGAGTTACCTGTCTCAGCAAATGCAGCAGTTGGAGTAGTGGAATTCTCAATCCCTAAAAGTCGAGCATATTATTCTGCGGGTATAGTTACAGTACTATTGAGGCAGAGGCAACGTGTGCTGATGAACTCCTCATATGTCTGGCCAAAAGCTTCTTACATGTGCGCTTGGTGTGACCTAACTCATGGCTGTAGTAACACTCAACGTTATCAGAATCTGGAATAGTAGTCCGTGAGTCAGTTGTTTGGTCACTGTGGCCACCTCGGTAGCCACCACGAAATCCCCCTCGACCAACTAGAGCATTGTTGTGATCAGAAGTTTTAGAAGCCTGAAGATTCTCATTCCTAAGAACACGGGAAAATGTTTCTTAAAGATAAGGAATAGCAGATTCATTCAAGAACTGAGATCTGATAGAGTCAAATTCTGGTTGCAAACTAGTCAAGAAACTGATAACAACCACTTGTTCCCTCTGAGTCTGCATGGCTTTGACATCAGCACTTAATGGAAGAAGAGAGTTAAGCTCCTCATACACTTTCTTGAACTCCATGACATACGTAGTGAGTGATATGTTGTTCTCCACAATGAAAGGACTTACAAAAACTATAGATTCGAGAGATGTTACTTTGTCCAGAATACAAAAAATCAAGATAAACCATAAGTTTCTTCACATATTCACATTACTAACCAGAGACGAAACAGAAGACTCAATAGTATTGATAATTTGCAAGTACAAACGAGCATCACTTTGGAACCATGAATCAGAACCGTTACCTTTAGGAGGATCCGATATGAGATTAGAAACCATTCTCATGCTCCCGAGATAGATATGAATAGTTTTGCTCCACTCAAAGTAGTTGAAGCCATTAAGCTTGTTATCGGTGAGCTTAACATTTACTGGAAGCATCTCGGGTACACGTAAACTACTGTTACTGTCAGATGTTGTCTTCTCCAGTCATCTAATAAATCACGAACCAGAAGAGAGAACGTAGAACTTAGGATGAAGGATAGCAAACCAGAAAGCGAACAACGCACTCACGGGGTGCCAAAGAAACCGACTAACAGAAAACTTCCGATCCAAGGAAACTGAAAATGAAGCGTCTAAAAACAAAAAACAGCAGTAGCCTAGGAGGGCTGCTAACTTGGAAAGAAAACCTGCAGCAAACCGAAGCAAACAGCCGCAAAACGAATTGAATCCTCAGCGTCGACTTGGGCAGCAAGCAAAAAGCAGCACCAAACTTGTTGTCGCTCAAACAGCAGCAGAAAGCTTGCTGTCGACCAAAATAATCAAGCAAAACAACCCTGAATCACAGCAGCACCAAATAGCCGAGGAAGCAACACCCAAACGCAAACAGATCTGAAGTCGTGAGGAAGAAAAAACACGCCCAGATCTGGATTAAAAAAAACGGCAGCAACCAAATCCGGACAGCAGCAAATCGTAAACCAAAATGCCTAGAATCAAGAACCTTTGCTGCACAAGAAGCCCTAAAATAACCAAACCCTACTAGCCGTATTTTTGAAACACGACCAGATCTGAGAGTTAGCAAACATCAACCACGAGGAACAGATCACAGGGATAAACCGAAGCCCACAAACAACCAGCAAAACTGATGCCACAAAAGGAAGAAATCGAAACTAGAAGAACAAGAACCCTAATCGAAGAACAAAAATTTCAATCTGCGAAACTAGTGATTGTTACGAAACTGAGCTCTGATACCATGTAATTAGGGATTATATTATTGCTTTTAACTTGTGTATTACAAAGAATGGATATAAGGATATATATAGACAGAAAACCTAGACAAAAGAGAAACCCTAAGGGCCCATGGGCTTAATGGGCCTAAGTAAATATATACTGTATTTTTTACATTCTAACATAGTAGTTAAAAGAAGGAGAAGGTTATTGACATAGATGAATTGTATAATCTCTATTTGTATTGCTATTGCTATTGCTTATTCGTATCTATATTTTCAAATTTTAGCATATCTGTCTCTCTTTTCACACACTTTTCACTAGCCCCTTCTGGGAAACACCTAAAGCTCTACTCTGTAGGGTAGACTTCAGGTCTGCTTACATCTTACCCCCCAACGCCCCACCTCCAGGTGGGATATACTGGTCTTATTTGGTTTGGTTTGGTATAAATTGTATAAGCTATATAGATAGCTACCTTTGTTGCACATCTGCTTTCTTATTATACATGTATTTCTTTGGAATTCTATGGCCTCTTATAAAGTTCTGCTCGTCCTCTATGTAGTTTGTTTGCTGCATTGTCATATGGAATCGCGTCAATGGCCATGGTTTTCATAAACAAAGCAGTTGTTATGAATTATGCATATTCGATGACTCTACTTACTTTACAGGTAATACTGGATACATTTATCATTGCAATGTTTGTGATTTTGTCGCCGTTACTTAATTGTTTACAAGTATTTACGTTTCTCTTGGAAACCTTTCAGCAAATGGCAACTGCGTTACTTATACACTTTGGAAGAATAATGGGATGGACAAGAGCCAAAGCACTAAATGTCGATACTGCCAAAAAACTTATCCTTGTTTCACTATTTTACAATGCAAATGTGGCTTTTGCTTTAGCAAGCTTGAAAGGAGTCAATATTCCAATGTATATTGCTATAAAACGACTAACGCCTCTAGCGGTATTAGTTGCTGGACTTTTCTATAAGAAGGGAAAACACTCAAAACAGGTAATTCTATTGCATTCATCATGTGTATGTATGTTAGCATACAAATTCATAAAAGTTTCTTTAATTATTAGTTAACTGAATGTAATTAATTTTTTATTTTTATATGTATTTTACCTGATTCCACAGTTGGTCGCTTCCTTTTACAGCTCGGCTGCAATTTTTACTCTGTAGCTAAAGTAAGAAGCTTCATTATTATCAAATATGTTTTGGAAACTAGCTGATAAGCTAGCTATTGGTTGAAAAGCTAGTTGGTGGTTGATAAGCTAACAATTAGTTGATAAACTAGTCATGTTTGGTAAAGACTAGTTGATAAGCTAAATGACAATGTAAAATGACCTAAATGGACATGTCGAAAATTTAATTGGAAAATGTAAGGGGCATAATGGAAAAAGCCCCTGGAGCTTGCTGCAACACTACTTGAAGTAGCTTTACAAAAGCTAGCGTATGGTTAACCAAGAGGAGAGTTTTAGTAAGCTCAAAAAATAAACTAGATTATGGTTGCCAAACATGGCCTTAGTAACAGCGAATAATTGTATGATATTAGCTTTCTCGTGGGTCATTTTGATATCATCATATGTTATTATTGGTATGACCACATGTTATATAGAAGCATGACTTTTTGTAACTATTGAGGTATATAAAGTATTCTTAGTTTTGCCCTTCAAATAATCAAGTCTTTGCAAGATGAATATAGGAAGAACAGAAGTGGGATTCATTCCAGGCTTGAAGTAGGATTTTTATTCGAAACCATGTTACAGTGAATTATTGGTATATTTACGTCCAAAATATAATTTGTTACTCGTGTATATCCATGTAATGGTACAGTCCAGAATCTAAACTAAGGGAACTAGAAATACGTGAAGGCGTTTTAGCAAAAGGAACAGTTGAATAGTGGTTAAGTTACGAGAATGGATATGCAAGTTCTGGTGAGTGTATTTTCTGTCAAAATCCCGACTCTCTGATTGATGTGAAAGAGAATAAAGGAGCAGATGTTCTACCTAAATGTTTCAGATCTGACATTTGAGATACCAAAATGAAGGTTCTGAAAGTAAGTTACACAAAATAGGAATTGGATCAAATTACATTCTAATTTAGTCTACTTGAACCTTTGCTGGTGGTCCTCCAGAAAAAGTCGCAAAACAATGCTTGTAAATAGGTACAACTAGCAATTGCATGCTATCAACTATTGGAAATAATTCTCATTATTAAAAGATACACTCGTAACTGAAGCTAATCGTTGGAAAACTTTTTGACCCTTTTTCTATGCCTCCCATTTCAGGTAATTCTTTCTGTATCATTAACTGCTGCGGGGGTAATTATTGCAGCACTGGGAGATTTTTCTTTCGACTTATTTGGATATGTCATGGCTCTTATCTCTGTCTTTTTCCAGGTAAATTTTAGCTTGAAAGCAATTCTGTACCACTTGTGCTCTAATCTGTTTATCCGGTATAATTGACATTCAGATGGCATATGCAGACTATGTACCTTGTTTTGGTGGAGAAGTCTGGTGCTGAGGATGGGCTTTCATCAATCGAAATCATGTTTTACAACAGCCTTTTATCCTTGCCGTTTCTGCTATTTCTCATTATAATTACCGGAGAATTCCCAAGTTCGATCTCACTATTATATGCAAAGGTCAGGATCTCAAGTCTACTCTTACACCCTCTTTGATCTTGCCTGTCTTTAATGTTTCATGTTCAGGAGAAGGTTTACATTCTTGAAATGATTGAACAACATTTGATGTGGGTAGATAAGGTAAATGTTGTAGCAAATATATAGTCACACAAGTTAGTAGATAAAAGTTTCTCATATATATGATGGTAAGGAAACCAATAGTGTTAATTACTATTGCTAAAAAGTCCATGCTTGGGCTATGTTTTGCAAACTAGTTGTGTTGGCATAAGCTAGTTGTTAGCTTATAAGCCAGCTTATAAACTATTCATGTTTGGTTAAAACTAGATGATAAGTTAGATGACAAGGTAAAATGCCTAAAAGGAAAATATAAGGAGCATTTATGTAAAATATAAGGGACATAACTGTAAAACATGAAAAAAACCCGAATAAGCTATTTGAAGTAGCTTTTCAAAAAGCTTAGACTATGGCTTACCAAACGGGGTTTTTTCAAACCTCATACGAGGGTGTGTGAGCTCTTTTATTGCATTTGCCGTATATAAATATTAGATGTAGGGATAAAAATGTGCAATCAAACTTAACAATGAAGTGATTTCTAAGGTCCCAAATACTTGTAGAAATCAAAATGCACAATAAACCCAAACAACAATGCGGATAACAATAATCTAGATGTTGTACAACATGCTCCAAAAAAGATTAAACACCCACTATGTAAATGACAATCAAAATATGCTAGGATCTAAGCATATAACAACATCACAAGCAAGTTAAACTAGCGTGGTCTCTGGACTTAAACTCACAATCAGAGACCCATGCTAGTTTTGGGGTGACTTAAACTAGCGGTGAAACTCTCGGTAGTCTCTGGTCTTGTTTGTTGTGCAACATCAAAGGTGATCAAGTATCACAACATTATATACTTCAAAAGAAACATGGTCTTGGAGAGTTTCAATCAAAATGTGGAGGAGTGTGATTTGAACGAAAGAAAGCCAGCTAGATGCAATACTTGATAAACAGAGCACAATCTCATATGGCAATGGCTAACAGTATTGAGAACTATCAAAGATTATGGAGAACTTGTGTCAATAATTATTCAAGCATGGTATCTGCGGAATACGAGCATGCATTTTGTCTTGTTAGGATGCACTTACTGAACTTGTCCGCGACTTGCCATATTAATTGATTTTAATTGTCAATTACTTAAATGTTTTAGTTACTCTCCATCCTTTACAAATATTAGACCAATTTGTCAAAAGGGTCGATACTATGATGGATTTTCGTCATCATTATGCTCTAGCTATAGATAACTGCCCTCTCTGTAGATATAGACAGATAGATTTTGTGGAGCAAGGCAGTTTAAACTTTAGGAGATCACTAGTAGTGCCATTAGGGTGTGTTTGGTGTGGGGACAGGATAGGACAGAACAGGACAAGACAAGACAATTGTTCAACGTTTGGTAAGATAAAACTGGACAGAACAGAACAAGTAAAATGACCAATTTACCCCTGATGAATTGTTTATTTTAATTAATTTATGTAATTTATTAAATTATAATAAAATAATTATTTTTTATAACAAAATATATTATTTTAAGTAGTCGTCAAAACAATTAAAATGACACCAAATAAAAAGTTTATGTAGTTTTCTATTTTTATTTTTATCTCTTTTCTACATTATTTTTTATTATTAATACATAATAAATTACATAAATTAATAAAAATATAGAAACCGTATAAAAATAATATTTTGAGAACAGTAAAATGAAAGTTTAAGAAACATAAAATACAATAAATAAAATTTAAAGAATGAATAAAATGTAAAAAAGAGACCTATTTGATGTTTTAGAAGAGAATTAAGTTTTATTTTGAGATTATATGTAAAATATAAGTCTGTTCTACCTTGTTCCACCCTGTTCCATGGGGTAGGGGTGGAACAGGCTTGTTCCACTTTGTTCCACTCTGTTCCTGTCTGATCCACATAAAATTTATGTCAAACATGGGACAGGATCCTTGTCCTGTTCTGTCCTGTCCCTGTCCATGTCCAGTGTACCAAATGCACCCTTAGAGATGAATGCATATTTTGCTATGGATGTTCCCAAAATGACCCATCTGATAAAAACTGCATGGTTCCATTTTTGGGACTTTAGAAGTTATTTATTTGCCCATCATCTTTGTAACTAAGAAACGATGGTATTAGTTTTAGTCTTCATGATTCCCAATTGGATTTTCGGACATCTTTTTTACTTGCTTCTATTTGTATTTTATTGTTTACTCTTTAACTATTTTTTAAATAATTTTCATATCTGCCTTTCTCTCTTTCACACATTTTTTGGGGGGTGGTCACGTTTGCGTGCATCTCACTCTGCTGGACCCCACCTACGGGTAGGATATACAGGGTTTGTTTGGTTTGGTTTATTAAACCACATATAGGATTAAAAAGGTTGCATTTTCAATGGACAGACGATGTATATCTTTGTATAGATGAGTATACTTCTGAAAGAAAAACCATTTCTTGTGGTTAATCTTTTGAAACATAAGGAGTAAATTTCTGGTCTTTTCTACTCGTTTTCTTCATTGTCTTGATTAGGGTTTACTTTACACCAACCAAATTTTGTTGTGTTAAATCTGCTGCTAATTGGAGTTGTTTTCCCTTTTTCAACAGAGTGCTTCATTTTACTTCTTCCTGCTGTTCGTTCTTTCACTCGTAATGGGCATAATCTTGAACTATACCATGTTTTTATGTACGATAGTCAATTCTGCTCTAACGACAACCATTGTTGGGGTCCTCAAGGGCGTCGGATCCACGGTAAGTCTTCATGTTTGTCTCTATTAGTAACTTAAAAGCTGTGATTATTCATTGTAACAAATTGATTTGTGATGGGTTGGTTAGACCCTCGGGTTCTTCTTACTGGGAGGGGTTCAAGTACACTTTCTGAACGTCAGTGGATTGGTGATCAACACGCTCGGTGGTTTGTGGTATTCGCTTGCCAAATATCAAGAGAAGTTGAGAAGAACAGCAATCCCAAGATAGCGGAAAGTGTTCGGGTTTTAAGTTGAACAAGATGGGATGAGATATGAAGGGTGTTTCCATTTCTAGTTAAACTCACATTGAAGCAAAAGATGGATGAATGCTTGTAATAGAAATGGGACCTTCACAGGTGAAAAGGGCAAAAAAGTAAAAGCACGCCCTACCATATTTGAAATTAAATGTTCATTTTCCTTGTCCAACAATTATGCAAAACACTGAGTTCCTGCATACAAATGGGAAAAATACCATTTGGTTTCTCTTTCTGTGAACTTAAAGAAGTCATACAGATTACATTGTTGTAGAGTAGTCTTTGCCATTGATGGACATTCATCATAACCGTGTAATTTTATCAACTCTTCTCTAAAAGCATCTCCGATAGATTCATCAATATAATCTTATATTATATTATAAATTTTTTAAATTGTATCTTTTAAAAATTTATAAATTTTCAAGAATAGAAATATTAAAACATTATTTACAAATCAATAATAAATACAAAATATGTATTTCTATAATTTTCTTATTTTATGTCTTGTAAACAATACTCGACCAATCATTGAGTCGTTGAGATTATGAGAGTTGAGAATAGGCGAATAGCAATCGAGTAATGAGTAACCGACCAATTGACCAAACATGTTATACAAAATAACAAAAATCCTCTAAAATCTAACTGTTGTTGTCGTTTCCATTACATATCTGAAACCATATCATTAGCCTTTGGAGATTTCAATCGACAATCCATAGGATAGAGAGGAGAGGGATATCGAGGCATCTAGTCTCTTCACTCTGCACGTATGTGTTCTCGACTCTCGTTCTCCGTTAGCTTGGATCGGCCGAATAGGCATTATGACGGGCCTGTGAAATTTGGGCCCCGAAATGTTGGGGCCCTGTTCTAAATCTTATATGTAATGGGCCAAGGGACGGGCCTGTTGGCCACACATGGAAGGTGATGTTACTGCTCTTATTGTTAGGTATGCAACATGTCATCAAGCTAAAAGCTAGTTTTATCAAGGCTTGTATACTCCATTACCTGTTCCTTCTCAACCATAGGAAGATATTTATATGGATTTCGTTGTGGCTTTGCCCCGTACTCAACTTGGGAAAAATGCTATAATGGTTATGGTGGATCGTTTCTTCGAAATGGCACACTTATTTTCCGTGTCACAAAACAGATGATGCCATTCATGTTGCTGATTTATTTTTTAAAGAAATTGTGCGTCTTCATGGAATCCCTAAAACCATAGTTTCTAACAAAGATGTCAAATTCTTGAGTTACTTTTGGAAATCCTTGTGGAAGTTATTGGGCATCAAGTTATTGTTCAACACTGCTTATCATCCGCAAACGGATGGACAAACGAAGGTAACTAATCAAAAACTGACAACCTTGCTAAAAAGTATGGTGAGAAAGTCCTTGAAAGATTGGGATATTAAACTTTCTTTTGTTGAGTTTTCTTATAACCGATCTCCAACTTATGCTACTAGATGCACACCATTTGAAGTGAACTACAAAGTGAATCCTCTCAACCCTATTGATTTGATACAATTGCCTAAGGGTAGTGAAGTTCACTTTGAGGCATCAACTCGAGCCAAAGAAATGCAAAAGATTCATGAACAAGTCAACACAAAAATTGAACATGTCAACGACTTGTACAAGAGAAAGGCCAACAAGCATCGTAAGAAGGCTCTCTTTGAACCTGGAGATCTCGTGTGGTTGCACTTAAGAAAGGAAATATTTCCTTTAAAACAGAAGAACAGGCTAATGGCAAGAGGAGATGGACCATATAAGGTGTTGGCAAAGATTGGAGATAATGCCTACAAGCTAGAGTTACATGGGAATACAAATATATTAGCAACTTTCAACGCTGGAGATCTTTCTCCTTATCTTGAAGATGGTCTATTGGAATATTTGAGGGCAAATCCTTCCCAACCGGAAGAGGTTAATGTAGAGGCATCCATGTTATTTTCAGCCAGTACAAGACCCCCATTTTATGTCTCCGACTCACCTTGGGATCGATTCAGACTCTTATTTTGGGTTCGAAACAATTAAAAAGAAGAGTATAATTTTCTGGCCACCCAAAGGAGATTAAGATTCTTCTTCATTTATGCTTTATTAATAGTCCTTTAATTGCTTTCCAACTTTTGGTCTTTCTTTAGTCTTCTCATTTTTCAAGAGTGATGTTTATCTTCCAGCCTTATATATGGGGTTCCAAGTTGTAGCTAGAAGGCATCTTTTTTTTAAATAATGAGTTTCCAATAGCTTGTGAAGTTGTTTTCGGTGTTCATACACAAAAGGAGTCGATTCTTGATTGTTGCTAGTGTGGTGTTCTTGCTTTATCACTAGTAACATCAACCTTCGCCAATTTGGTCAATCTTTGTGTTGTTTAAGTATTTTATCCTTGATTTAATCAGATTGTTAATATCATCCTAGTCTTATCCTTCTTTTTACCCATCCACCATCACTCATGTTACCCTTCCTGAGTTTTGGAAACCTACAAATTTATTCCGATTTAAAAAAGAATCTAAATTGTTTTAATTATAATTAAATTTTTAATTAAAAAACAGGTATCTTATTCCATTTGATTTGATACTTATGCTGAATATATATATATATATATATATATATATATATATATAGTTTTTTGATTTTTTGAATTTGGTTTTCAAATAATTTATCATGGATATATTTACATGTAAATATTTTTGTACAAGATTTTTATTATATTATATAACATCAATAACTTATTATTAAATACATTAATTTATTAATACGTTTGGATTTTATACACAAATTCATAAATAAAATCGAGAAATATGAAATGAAGATGTATTGCATTAAATTAGGGAAGTACACTTCTAGTAATTATATTACTAGACATTTTATTTATCAAATCCAAAATCTCCACCTTTATTGTAGTTACTTTCAATCTCTAATTTTACATTCTCTCATTAATGTAGGATGAGTAAAACAACATTACAATGTAAAATTGAGAATACTCTAATTTTACAATGTCACATCATTCTCTATGATTCTTCCTTTATATATATATATATATATATATATATATATATATAAGATAAAAATAGTTTATATTTGTATGGTTAATTGTTTTTCTAACATAGGGTTGGCCAAAATGAGCGAATCCATGAGTTCAGAAGGTCGACCAAAATGAGCCAACACTGTAAGTTTAGAGGATCGGCAAAGATGAGCCAACCCCATGGGTTGCCATTAAGGCATCTCAACTTCCCTTCATATACTCACCATTTATTGTCAATCTTTCATCTCCCCATCAATGTAGGATACGCAAAACTCAAACACAATTCGAGAGATGAATAATACTTATTCCTTAGGATGTCAATGATTCTTTGTGGTTTTACTTTAATATATATGGGATTTCTATTTATTGAGGCATATACACACAAAGTTCATTAGGATTATGAATGCCTCGCATTCAGATGAAAACAAGGCTTAGGGACCGTTTACCAATTTTTTTGGTTAAGTGTTGATTCGGGTAAGAGGTCTACTGTAGTAAGAGGTTTGACTGGAATAAATGCATATTGGATTTTCTGGTTTACCATACATTTTGTATTAAATGTTGATGGAGTAAAAAAGACCATTATATCTCTCTTTCTGGAGTAAGTGTTGATTGAAAATTATTGTTTACCAGATGTATTGTATTAATTGCTAACATAAAATATATTAAGTGTTATTTATCAAAAATTTTAAATATAATTTCAAATTCTTTTTTGCTTACGAAAATATATTGATACTTAATATATTAACATATTACATATTTTCATAATTTAGAACAAAAGGTCAAATTTTCTAAAAGCAAAACCACCACCAAAACAAAAAAGACCAAAATAAGGTCCAACAAAGGAAACAACAACAAACCATCAACAACGAACAAAACGTCATTACAAGCCTTTAACATAATTGTTTGCGTACAAATAGTTTGCTTACAAATATTAATTTCAAGCATTCAACATTAATTGATTTGCAAACTGATCACACAAATTAGTCATATATTCATTGCCTTGGGGACCCCAATGTATTTCTTCAACATCTTCCTTGATGCTTTCTTCCTCGATTCCTTCGTCTTGTTCTTCGATGGTAAACATATTGTTTTCATCATACTCCATAAACAGTCAATCTTGAATATTGCATTTTTTTATAAATTTGTGAATTGCGAAACAAGCAATCACTATATATTTTTGTATTGGGAAAGGATAAGGAGTCATTTGTCTTAAGAAAAAAAATGAAACATACTTGGTGGAGGAAACGGAAATCCTGATGTTGGGTTAAATGCAACTTCTGTTAGAACTCGAGAATTATGTGCAATGTCTTCCCATCCAACCCAAACAAATGTGAATATTATATTAAAATCACAAACTGTTGAAACATTTTGATATCATTCACCTCTTCCTCTTCCTCTATAACTAGCTTGTTGACTAACGAACACAACTGCATGTACCAAGGTTCCATCTAGCGCACATATAGCCCCTTTTTTTACGAAATTTATATGTTAAAAATATTCAGTATATCAAGACAAAACATACCAAAAATGTTTCTATGAGTCGTGTAAATTGCTTCGACATGTTTGGGGTTCCATCAAAGGATGTTGGACCTACGACTTCTCTCGCAAATTCTATCATTCCTTTTAGTACTTCATGAAAACATTTATTAATGGTTTGCGTCGAGTGTTGAAATCTCCGTTTAACCATTCTAAAGCATTCATTGTGACCAATTATTGTAAAAAATATGGTCATCTTCTCTTCGACACTCATATACCTACTTGAGTGCACCCAACTTTTTTCTTTAAAGTAATTGCATAATAATATATATGCTTCATGTGACGAACACATCAATTCATGACATTACGTATTTGATCTACTAAACAATTCTTGTGTATACACATGTCCGCTCAATGCTGAAGTGTGGTCTCTTATCCTTTCTATTCTTGACGAAGATTTTTTTTTCAAATACAAATAAACAACCACCACATCAGAATTAACGTGTTCCTGTCCATAACCTAGCAATACAAAACACATATAACATTAACCGTCAAGAGTCTATACAAAGACCAAAACATCTTCCAAAATTCAAATGAAAAGGAAAACATCATCTTTAAAGATAACATTGATCATAACATTCATCAATAAAATTTATATAAAAGCCAACGAACATCTTCCAAAGTTCAAACAATGACAACCATCTAATGCGCATGTAAACCATTTAAGGCTTCAAAAGAGCGCAT